TTACTAGTTTTCCGGCTCATTTTATTTACACACACTTGCCTCAGGGCCGTGTCTACATGTTCCGGGTCTGTTTTACTAAGAAGCAGCAAGTTAGCTGTGCCTCCTCGTCTGGTCTGGCACACACATTACAGACTTCAAACTTGGGACATGGAGTTCTGAGAGCGGCGCAGAAAACGCTTTTCTGCTGCCCAGAGAGGCAAAGACAAAGAAGCGAAGGGAGATACATAAAAGCTATTATGAAGGAAAGATCCTGAGTTAGAGCAAAAAAGTTAACAAGAGACATGGGGAGGGAGGGGTCACGTGAGAGTTTAAAAGAGAAAAGAGAACACAAGAGCGTGTTCTTGGAGCGTGGTGACTGGAGAGTTAACGTTGCTGTCCACCCACGACCGAATGGTTCTAAGGCTGAATAATAGCTTAAATTGTGGATAACATTGCAAATGTTCAAGTAAACCTGTCTTACTGTCGTCCTATCTTCTTTTCAGATGAGGAGACAGAGACAGGGAGAGGTAACAGACATTTAAAGCATCATTACTAAGGATATAAAAACAGGTTGGCGGCAAAACTAATTAGAACCAGCAATTACCGACTTTCTAATTAAATTATTCATACATACACATGCACACATACACGCAGACGTGTGCACACAATGCCTTGGACATGACCCAGTGTCACAGAACGCTTGAGCTTGAAGCCAGCGTAATGTTTTATCCCTGATGGAAGCTTAAGAGCCTTCCAAAAAAATAAAGAAATTGTTTTCCAAAGAGTCCATGCCGCTTGCCCGTAAGCATCCGGGAATGATATAGAATTATGTAGCGATAGGCCAGTGATTTTTGACAGGGCAGCTGTAGGAAGTGTGATTGGTACAGCATCTCTTTTAGTAACTGATATTATGAAAAATTCATGAATTGATAAGCCCAGTGAGTTAACTGGTGAAATAATATTTTCTTTATTTCTTTATTCTTAATACTATAAGTATTAAGTAAGTCTTTTCTGGAATCATGATGTTACCCTATAAACAAACCTACCAAAACTATTCTTTTGGATATGCTAAGCATTTGTGGCAACTACATGTAGAAGAGTAATTACTTTCTAAAGGATAGTAATAATACAGAAGAGTGGTTCTTATCCTATATTTATATTTTAACACACTAAATTCCATTCATATTTCTCACAGACCCACCAATCAGATTCAACCAATATAAACTCACAAACGACCTCACTAACTTGTATCTAACCATTCCAAGCCCCTAATCCCACTATGATTATTTTGAATCAACCACTTAGCCTCGTTTTTTAAAGAAACTTAAAGTTGTATCTCCAAGAGGTCAAATTTCTTTCTAACATATTCACAGTTCAAAATAATTACCACACTTAAGAAATTAATATTAATTACCTCGTTTAATATCCAGGTATTAAAACTCCCTCAGTTTTCTCGTAAAATTTTCGTGTTGCTGGAGTCAGGATCCAAATAAGGCTTCTACCTTGTAATGTGTTGTCTGTCCTTACAAGAAAGACACCAGGGTTTCCCACCAAAGTTTTTTCTTACAATTTGTATGTGAAATGAATAGAGTCATTTGTCCTGTTGAGTGCTCCACTGTCTGTGTTTTCATTGTTCTATTTCTGGGATATACATCTGTGAAACTTGTTTTTGTTGCCTAATCAATAATTGTATTAAGGCTCCATTCTCCATTACTGTACTTACTATTGACCGGTGAGATATGACATATTATATTATGTTTTCAAAATGTATTGGTCTTTTTCTTTTTAAGAGGAGAAAGTTGGCAGTGTCAATATCTATAATAGTTGCAGTTCACTTGATTGAATCACAAATCAGCAGGCATTTTATTTCCTATAAATAATCTCAAAGTATTCGGTCTATTTTGATTTTGTCAAATCGAGCACAATATTTCAAGTATATTTTCAAGGATATTTTCTGATAAATTGTTACACCTTTGAGAAACCTTGTTATGTTTACAGGTTTAAATAGCTTTTGTTTATTTATTTTTTCTTACATGAGAGGGTATAAGCACAGTTATGGAAGTTAGAGATTCAATATGGTTCTAGGAGCTGGTGAAACGTTGCATGGACTTGATGTCATTGAAGATGGTCCTTTAGTAGTGGATAGAATTTGTTATGATACATACAGGTAGGAAGTATTTCTACAGGAATTATAGTATGAGTAAAGGCACACACTAATACACTAGTATAAGTGAGGCAAGAACACTTCTTGGGCACAGAATTTATAAGGTCACAAGGACAATAGAACAGAACATAAAGGTAGAAATGTAGCAAGTATTTTGTAAAGGCCCTTGAATATCAAATTTTACTTTGAATCTACTACTGGTCAGATGGATGGAAATTTATTGTGCGTTGTTGGACTTTTCCTTCTTCACTTTAAAAGCCTAGGTACATTTTAGTGTCCCTTCTGGTTCTAATAATCCATTCTGAGGAATGAATGTGATGAACAATATAACATCTGAATTCCTCCAGGCCAGAGGTGTTGTGGAGAGTGTGGAAGGGTTGAATTAGCATAATAAGTATGGGACTTGAAGGAGAACATGAGTGCCAATGGATTTGTAGACATCGAATCACCATGACTAGGTGTTAATCGCGCTTCTGCAGTAATTGAAAGGAAAATGGAAAGCGTCGACTATTGAAGTTTCAGTCCCACAGGATTGATGAAGTGTGGTCCTCTGTGCTTGCTTTGGCCCTATGAATAGACATAACAAAGAAGCCAAAGAAAGGAATTGATAAAAAATTGGAGGATAAAAGAAGGCAAATGATAACTTTGGTGTGTAAGCTAGAAAGAAGGTCACATAAACAGATGAGTCTGTTATTCAGTTGATACGGATGGACGGAAATACACAACAGGTTAATTCTAGAGGGTAGGATTTTAGTTGAAATTTTAGTAGGAAACGAATTACTAAGTCAATGCTGTATAAACGTGTAGAGAGTACATATTCTTGGGAGAAGAATAAGGGATGGAGAGAAGAAGACCCAGTAAATGAAAGAGCAGTGAACAAGAGTGGGGTCAACAACTCACATGAGTGCACTGGGAGACAGTCGGTGAAAGGGAGAAGTTCAAAACAGTGGAGGAGCAACATGGTCCAATACAAATACTTCAGAGCACGGGGAGAGTTGAGGAAGATTCTTGTGTCCTTGAAGATAACAGCTTCCCGAGTGCACGGAAAGCAAGGCAGAAGCTGACTATTAAGGGATTAAAGAGTGGCACAGAATATAGGCACCAAGTAAAGTATTCTTGAGTGATAAGTAAGAAAATACACATGAACCAAAAAACCAAGCTGATTTTGGCTAAATAACTCACCTTGTCTGGACTTGTTGATTTTCCTGTTCTATAGTAGGAAATGTAATATGCCATTTCATTAGAATCATAGGGGAAAAATCAATAAGGAGATTTAGCTTCCTGAAAGGAAGTATAAGGTTTCCTTGTTGTCTCTGTGACTGATATTTGTGTTCAAGGTACAGAACGTAAGAGAGCAAGCCTTTATCTAGTTCTCTTAATCTTGGATTGGCAGGTAGACTGAGAAATTCACAAAAGATTTTTCTTCATCTTGGATGCTTTTATATTTTTAATTTAATTTAAATTACGACTTCATTGCATTAAAGCAGTTCAGCTTTTATTTGTAAATTATGCTCTGACATTATTCTTTCTAAGGTAGTTTGTTCATCTTTAGACAATTTTCTCAATGCCCAGGGTAGTTAGATGACAGCATGAACGATGGCAAATAACGACATATCATGTGCCAATGTCAAAAACAAGTGCTCTGTGAACCTGAAAGGACCCCTCCACGTGGGATGGGTTCCCCTTGAGTCAGGCAGTTTTAAGGACCTGCACGTTCCCATCAGTGACAGGCTCAGTGTAATAAGATCTAACTTAGAAAACATATCATCTTCCTAAGTAATTCTTTCCTTCACTAAAATACTCTCCACTTAGCAGCAAAGCAGTTGATTTAACTGCAGCAAAATTCCAAGTGATTCCAACATCCCCCATGGTGGTGCTGTTTCCTGGGAGGCTTTGGGGTCTGTGTGTGCACAACTGCCTTCACGCAGGCATCACAGCTCACCTGAGAAGAGGTTCTCCACTCAGGCATCAACCCATGACCATTACAGGGTGTGTGAACATGTCCTGGGCATATTTGGTCTAACTATATCCCTCCGAACACTGATTGGAGAACTCTTGGGTAACCTAGAAGTAGTTTAACTTAAGGTACAAATTTTCATTTTGTTTATGAAGGATTGCTCTTCAAAACTTGATTATATAATGCTTTCCTGCATGTTTGAATAAAGATTTTAATTTAAGAAGTTATTAAAAATGGGATTCAAGAATGCCCAGGAGTTGGTATTTATATGTGTGGTTTGTTTTTGAAGAATGTAATGCCACCTGCATTTGGATTTTGTATAGATCTTTCTTTCATGGCTCACTTCTTGAAAAAGCCCTCGTGCTACAGACCAGCAGCAACTTATTAGATTGAAACTGTATATATTGTTCATCGCTTGGCTTCCAAAATAATATTTTGATTTAAGAAGCAAATTAGGAAAGTTTACTAAAGAAATTGAACCTCATCTCGTGTTCTTCTTTTTCATTTTAACCTTTTTAAGAAAGAGATATTCCAATCATGTAAGTGAAACTCTCAGTTCCCCTAAAATTTCACAGTCACTTACTAATGTTGAATTTTTTATAAGGTGAAATAATACTATTTTGATAGTATTAACAACATCACAAAGTCATAATTTTAAAGTCTCAATGATGACACATTTTATTATGGGGGTGCACTGTATTATTTTGAGGTGCTCTCATAATCGAAGGTCACATTGTATATGTTGCATTACCATAATTTTCTAATTAATTTGCTCTTTATACGTGTTTATATGTGTTCCAATTGCATTTCATTAACTCATAGTTTTCTTGTAAGTTTGTTCTTTCTTTTCCATGTTCAAAGAATCTCTTTAATTCAATTTCTCTGTTTCTCCTCATACAGTCTGGCAGCCAGATATGCAACTCAGTCTAATCACAGTGGAATTGCAACCAGTCAAAAAAAGCCTACTAGGTCAGTTAATATTCTCTAATTTATTGCTTCTTAGTGATATTCAACTAAATACTTAGTGATACTTTGTCCTATCTAATTTTTTTTTAAAATGACACCCTTCTGAATGAAAAGTCTGCAACACTGAGGTTTTCCAGGCAGCTTTCCGTACACGGCCTCAGGGATGAGCATGTTTGTATTAAATAACTAAATGGATTTGGTCTCCTTTTAGTCTAATTGTATTTAGTGATAGGACTGGGCTGAAGTCTGAGTTTTAGGGTTAGAACAAATAAGAAAAATAGTTAATTGGAAGGCCTCATCTGTCCAGGTCACATAATCTGGAAGTTATACAATGAGATTGCATTTCCTTTTTGAGATGGGTATGCATTAAGTATTGTATATTTTAAAGAAGAATTGAAAAATATTGGTAGATTTTGGTTGGGAAGTTAGTACCGGGTCAGCATGGACTGGTTTTCTATCTATTATAGTTTACATTTTTGCCTGTTTATGACTCATGTATTTTAAAGATGGTCCACTAAAATAAAAAGCATGTATACTGTTTGGAAAATAATGATACAGAAAAATATGTCTAAAGAGTAGATTTTTATAACAAAGTTGCTGAAGCTGTGATGGTATCATAGAACAGCCAAGTAAAGCCCCAGGGCCGCACTCTGCGCCTCTGAGGAGCACGTGATTCTGGGCGCCCTCTTCCTCGCTGGGGAGGGACCCAGTGGCCCCTTGTTACAAGGCTCCGTTAATGAATCATATTACACGATGTGGGACCACAAGGACTACTTTTGATGCTTTGATTTGAGTTTTGCCTTGCCTTGGTTTTCTGAATTACACTCATTTTTACAGTAGTCATGAAGATTCTGGAGAGACAAAATGAAAGAAGGTATTTAAATTAAAAACTAAAATAAATGATATGAATTAGCCATGTGTAAGAAACAGTGACCTGCCATGTCCAGTGAGCAAATGAGGATTTTATTACTCCTTCTAATCTCAGGAATATAAAATCCATTTTAAGTACTTTGTCTTGATAGGACCCTTTTCTCTCTCTCTCCTTCTGTCTCTCTCTTCACTTCATCTCATTTCCCTTTTATTATTTGATGAATGATCTGGAAGCTCTGGCTGCCTATCAAATTAGGGTAATGAGAAGAGCAAATTCATTTTTTAATTTGTTTTAATTTGTTCTTCTGAGGACTGAAGATCATTTGGCTTCATGGGTCACAGTAAAGACTAAAATATATTTTAATTGCTTTCTAGAAATGGGTCAGTGTTCATGGCTCGCAGGGCAGGTTTTGTGACAAAATTTGTTTCTACATTGAGTTTGGAATGGATTTTCTGTCTATGGCTATTCCACAGGAATAGTTCCCAGATTATTATGATTGGGATTATTTGGCCAAATTAATCAGTGGAGTTCTTTCTGCAGAGTGCAATCACTGGTACTATAAATTCCTAGTGTCTGTGGATATTGTGCTATACTTACAAACCCTTCTAGATTCATTAGAGCTAACATTGAATGCTGGAAGCATTTGGAAAAGATTCTAATCTTGTGTATGACACAACCTCTAATTAGCAAAATAGCTGAAGGGACTATTTATTAGCCATACTTATTTAAAGTCTAAAATGCAGTCAATATTTTGAAACCATTAGCTATTCTGAAAAAAATCAACGCTTTTAAGCTCTTATTTGATTTTTCCTGATGTTCATTCCATTTTGCAGTGCCTGTTACTATTATAAAGCATTTATATTGTCTAAGGGTTTGATTTTCTAATAATCTATGGAAAAATATACTTAAGTAGTATTATAAAGGTGAGTTAAAATGTCAATACTGTAACAACTGCAATGTGACATTTTGATATATTTGGCACCAAGATACCATGTGTATATTTTAAAAGAACTATAAAAAAAATATTCAGTACTGTATTTATGTGTTCTGGGTTGTTGTTTGTTTTTCTCTTCAAATAAAATTTTTCTTTTTCTTTTTCTTTTTTTTTTTTTGTGAGAGAGTCTCACTTTGTCACCCTCAGTAGAGTGCTGTAGTGTCACAGCTCACAGCAACCTCAAACTCTTGGGCTTAAACAATTCTCTTGTCTCAGCCTCCCCAGTAGCTGGGATTGCAGGTGCCCACCACAATGCCTGGCTATTTTTAGAGATGAAGTCTCACTCTGGCTCAGACTGGTCTTGAACTCATGAGCTCAGGTGATCCACCCACCTCGGCCTCCCAGAGTGTTGAGGATTACAGGTGTGAGCAACTGTGCCAAGCCTTAAATAAAATTTTTCAAATAGTATGCAGTGACTTTTATATGGCAGTAACAAATACTAGTAAAGTTGTTGTCCACCTTCAATATCATATTTTCCAAATATATTTAAGAATGTCAATATTAGAGGGCTGGGCATGGTGGCTCACACTTATAATCCTAGCACTCTGGGAGGTTGAGACAGGTAGATTGCCTGAGCCTAGCAGTTCAAGACTAGCCTGAGCAAGAGCAAGGCCCTATCTCTAAAAACAGCCAGGCGTTGTGGCCGGCACATATAGTCCCAGCTACTCCGGAGGGTGAGGCAAGGGGATGGCGTTTGTCCAAGAGTTAGAGGTTGCTGTGAGCTATGATGCCAGGGCAACAAAGTGAGACTCTGTCTCAAAAAAAAAAAAAAAAAGTTGATAAGTTTTTAATTTCTAGTTTTTAATATACCTGAAGTTAGTTTATTATAACTACATGATGTATGCTGGTAGTATAAAATCAGAATCTAGTAATTGCACATTTTATATCAAGTTCATGAAATAGTTGACAATTGAAATCTTAATGTGAGGATTGCATAAACAGTGAAATAAATGATCCAAATTGGTGTTTAACTGTAGTCCAATGAAATAATGGTAGGTTATTGGACCTCGTAATATTGCTATCATAAGAGAGACTCTATATATTTCCTCATGTTCTGTTTTTTGTACACACAGACAAGCCAAAGATGCTGGCACTGTAGGTAAATGGTCATGCCGCTAACAGCAATATTCTTCTGAGACCTGCCTCCGTTCTTGTTGTATCTCCTCTGTGATCTGTTAGCTGTAGTTGGGAGATGACCACACAACTACAGCTGGCAAGAAAATGAAAGAGTTTTGGGGTGAGGCAGACCAGTCAAATATAACTTAGCCCAAGACCTGTCCCGGTGCCATGTTTTAATTAAAGTAGTGATTAGGTTAGGTAGTCGGTAAGCATTTGCTGTTCCCAATTGTTCAGTAACTTTATTCTTGTGAAACCTTGTCATTAATACACAACCTGGCGAAGAATATTGCTAGCTGAGATAAAAATAAATGCCCTGTACAGTGAAACGAATAATGTAACACCACCTGCAAGTTGCTTTATTAATATACTGAGGTCATAATAAATTTAAGTTTTATTATTTCTCTGACTTGTTGTGCAATTATTACAGTACTTCTTAGGCAAAGTTTTATTTAACAGGGGTAGGGTAAGTATAACTTTTTAAAATTATTTTGATTATTTTATGATTGCTACTCTCTCTGGGGACATGCTTGTTATAAGATGAAGCAATACTTTTCTGAAGCTCTCCAACCTTATTATTTAGCTATTTTATTTGTCACTTAAACTACCATCTTCTGCTATATAGATGTTAGAACATCAGATATTGGGATTTTATTGTTAACTCTAACCTGCTCAGACCCTGCTTACGTCTTTGTAATGTATGATAATGATGTAACTTTTCTCATGCTATTTCAGGCTTCCTGGACCCTCTAGGGTACCAGCTGCAGGCAGCAGTAGCAAGGCCCAGGGAGCCTCTAATTTAAATAGGAGAAGTCAGAGCTTCAACAGCATTGACAAAAACAAGCCTCCAAATTATGCAAATGGAAATGAAAAAGGTAAGTTTTCACTCGTTTCATCATTATGACCGAGGCTAACAAGGGGCTTGTGAATTATACACCGTCTAATATTTGAGGACCTTAGCAGCTTTGCAGATAGAAATCTTATCAGTAGAGTTGAATCATGTTTCCTAAGCACCCCCACACCGGATTTTAGCTTTTTTGTCTGAAGAATATTTTAAGCAAATAAACTCACTTATTTAAAAGTAGTTATATACCCGAGAATAAAATGTTTCTTGAAACAGTTTCTTCTAGGAGTATATAAATAGCATTTTCTTACGCCCTTTTATGTTTTATGAAAATGTATTCCGAAATCATAAAACTATATAGAATTTATTTGAATCCTTAGATTCAGTTAATGTAAGTTTCACAAATGTTGTGGGCAGTTAAAGTCAGAGCATCAGAAGTTAAAACATAATGGCAATAGGTACTGCGTTCCCCCTAAAATAAGACACTGTCTTATATTTATTTTTTCTCAAGAAGACACGCTAGGGCTTATTTTCAGGGGATGTCTCTGCACTGAAATGCATGGCGTGGCTATGCATAGCAATTCCCATCACTAGGTCTTATTATCAGGATAGGTTTATTAACAAATGCATAGAAATCCTGCTAGGGCTTATTTTGGGGGTAGGTCTTATTTTCGGGGGAAACATGGTATTTGTCTCTGCAAGCAGCAGGTCCTGGGAATGTTATGGCCCAGTTTTCTGATATTTGTTTTATTTTCTTGATATTTGTTTTATTTTCTTGAAATAGTACATAATATAAAATCACATACAAATCATTAGAGAAAAAAAAGGCGATCAGTGGGAATTGTATTTAAAAGCCATGTTTTAAGTGAAGTACATGCCACACAATTCTCTGTGACATGCAAAATGTCCAAAAGTGTCCCCGGCTTGCTGCCTGCCACTGCATAACAGAGCCCAGCATGTGAAGTTTACACCCAAATCGTGATGGAATCAGTGTTTTCCTATTGCTAAAACGTCAAACATCTCTCCATAGTATCAAGCTCTACCTGGAAGAACACCTAAAATTAAAAAGTGATACAAATGTGTAGGATTTACTCAGTAGAATGCTTGACAAATTGGTTTGAATAGTTCAACCAAAAGGAAACACTTTTCTTCAGATTGGACAATTGCAAATCATTTCAGATAGGCAAATGTTTAGACGGCTCGCTCCTGCTCAGGTGTGAATTGAGGGATGTGATCTATGATCTAGGCGTCCTTTTGTGAAAATCTCCCGCTCCACTGAAGACAAATCCGCACAGACTGTAACCCCTGAGAGCAGAGTGATGGGTCTTGATCCTTGCAATATCCCCAGCTCTTGAGTTGAAAGGAACATTTTTTTAAATGTATATTTGGAATTTAGGAGTTTATATTTAAAATATAAAATAATATATTTGATTTAAGGTACAAAGAAATATTACTGAAGCTATATTCTTCTGGGAGTGGTGGTGAAGGATGACAGTTCCTTATCAGAAAAGCATTCCCCCCCCCCGTGACTTTTTCAGAAAGTGTTACATTAGTTCAGGCTGATACTTCCTGTACATGGTATGATTTCTAAAGGAAGATAACAACCTTAGGAATAGAGATGAATTGGTCAGGTGTGGTGGCTCATGCCTGTACTCCTAGCACTTTGGGAGGCTGTCATGGGAGGATTGCTTGAGGCCAGGAGTTCCAGACCACCTGTTTTCCAGGATAACACAGTGAGACCCTATCTCTATTTAAAGCAATTATCTAGATATGATAGTGTGCCCTACAGTCCCAGCTACTTTGGAAGCAGAAGCAGGAGGATCGATTTAGCCCAGGAATTAGAAGTTACAGTGAGCTATAATAATACCACTGCACTCTCGAGGCAATAGACTGAGACACTGCTTCAAAAAGGAAAAGAAAAAGAGAAAGAAATAGATAACGATACATGTATTGAATGGACTTCCAAAGTGTCTGTTTAAGCTACACTATGCCACAGTTATATAATATTTTACAAGAAATCATTAATGTTGGCAAAGAGACTTATAAATGCTAGCAATTTGATATTATAATGTATCTGAATATTTCTATAATGTGAAAATCTTTTCCTAATTTCATTTCTGTGTCTAAAAGTAAAAATCCAAAAATAGACAAGCATTAGCATTCTTCCATGACCACTTTAACCTCTCCTAGGTATGCCCAGGAAGTGATGAAAAATAGCAAGTAGCAATATTTGTAATAACCACAAGGTGGAGACAGATGTCATGTAATGTGCAGCCTTTGATCATACATGTAAAGCAGATTTCCTTAGGTCCGTATCTATAGGAAAATATATGGTTTCAAGTTAATTCCAACTAACTAAAAATTCCAAAACATTTAAAGTGTGTGATTCCTCATTGATATGTTTGTAATATATCAAATATAAGCATTAAAAGTCTATAAATGGCCAATGGTAACTAGAGCTCAGATTGCAAATGACGCAGCCATCTGGAATTTGTTTTGCATGCAATGTAGAATCTGTTTTTAAACATGGAGTTACAATATTACATCAATACATCCAAGATCTATATTCCTAAATTACCCGTTATGCCATGCTCTTTACAAAGCAATAATAAATATAACATACAGAGTAATTTATAATTTATTCTATATTCAAATAGTATTTTGATAAAGATGTTTGATATAAACTTACTAACAAAGCATAACTTATGTAGAAATGTAAGATTCCATCTGCTGATAAGCTGATCTCTGTAACAAAGTAGTTTGCACATATATCCTGGGTCTGACCAGGCAAGGTGAAAATTAAAGAATTTTCAGAGTTTACATTGTTATAATGACAGAAATCAGAAAGTACTAAGTTCAATGTCCCAATTTCAACTGTTATTCCTCTTTAGTTATTCAAAATTAAACCATTCATATTATTATTAATTTATTCATGAATAAATTAACATATTTTATTTGAAGGATGCACGAAATTACCGGCAATGTGCTCCTTGAATACTTCTAAGTGGAAATATACTTTCTACATTCTTTACCAAGTCTGAGGAAATGAGTTATATAAACCAGTTCAGGAATCTTATAGATTTTGTAATCAATAATAAAGGTTTATTCACAATTATCATAATTTTACTTTCTCATGTGAGGAAAACAAACTATCGAAAACAGCCATTTTTCATACATTTGATTTTTTATAAAAGATAATAGCTCTTATAAAAATGGAATGAGATTTAATGAAAGGAAATCAGTAGAGAATCACACTGTTCTTTAAAAAGGTACATCTAATATCATTTTACTAGTGATGCAATTCAAAAAAATTATGTGTTCATTTTGCCTTTTCACCAAATGAATTAAAATATCAGAGCACATTGTAGTAGGTTATTATTTTCAGAGAAGGCTGAAATGGAAACGTTACAGTAGAATGCAATGCCGCTTTGCCATGATGCTGAGGTGGAATGTGAGGAGGTCTCAGAACCAATTAGGAAATGCAGGTAGCATCATTTGTAAAGCGTTTCTTTTGAGAGTCCTTCAGCTTCTTCTCCTGATGACCTTCCACTCAGAAACTGGCAATGAATAGCACATTCTGTTGCCAGCGTTTGTTAATTAGCCCAGGCACTCTTCAAGAGTGCTCTAACCAATACATGCTCTAAAGAAAACCAAATACCTGTCCATTGGAAATCAGATCTTATAGACACCATGCGATAGTTCCTTTGGACATGTACTTTGGCTGCCTGAAGGCAGTTATTCTTGTTGTACAAAATCTCGGTAATAAATCTGAACAATCCTAAATCACTTAAGATTCTATGTATCCCTTTGTTTGGAATCCAGTTTCTGAATTATCATCTATAAACATGTACTGTTTGACCCAGTCCCTTAGCAGAGAGGTATTTTTGCGTATTGCCAAGAACCAGAGAGAATTCTGCCATCTTTTTCCTGGTTTCCACATGTGACTCTTATCTTGTGTAAAGGCTAGCAATTTGATGTCATCATGTATCTGAATTTTCTAGATACATTACTGTACTTTTACTGAACAGCAAGGTTCCTTTCTTTTCAGGAGTCAATCAAGTATCTTGTGTTGTAAGAACTTTTGCTTTTACTCACATTCAAAATAAAAGTAATAAAATTGATGCAAACATTTTGCAACATTTAAATTCAGCATTACAAAAAAATAAGAGTTACTAAAAATTTTGCATTCGTCTTGAAAGTTGGGTGACTCCTTGTTAACTAAAACATAGATGTTTACCTCTTACAGCCATTCCATATTTCCTGATTACGCTAAATTAACTCTAAAGTCAAAGGACTGAACTTTTCAATGTTCTTTTCAAGCCCCTGAAAATGTGTTTTAGTTATTAATCAAACCCCTTGCTTTACTGTCACTTTTTGCTTTGTTACTTAATATTCACAGAAGCCTGAAATACTGTTGTCAACATCATAATCTCTACAATCATAGGGATTTTCATGAGCTACCATAACAGGCTACATAACTGGGTACATGAATCAGGTGATATGACTGTATACAGATGGACATATATGTCTTTTTGTTTATGTAGACATGCACACATAGTGAAGTGTCTGCAAATTATACCTGCAAAAATTAGATGTACCAAAATTACATACTATTTTCTAAATGGCCAATGAATGTAAACGTCCCTAAATTTCACAACACTCTGCAGAGTGGCACTCTGACATTGCACGTGGTACAATATAAGGGAATGTGGGATGGACAGAGCCTCCAGGGTCCCTTAGAAAACATCCTGTGTTTCTGCTGAGTCATCGTAAGACTGATGACTGAGGATTGTATGGGCAATCATTTATGCCAGGTGGTGTGGTGGCGTGCACAGGAGTCGCTTAGGAACCAGAGATATTTGAATTTGAATCCTACTGTTTTTCAACTTTTCAAAAATAGTTTAAAGATTGGCATGTTATTATCAAATGATAGTTTAAGTTGATTATTTACTCAACCCATTGCCATGGGCCTATTGCTTAATCATTTTCTTCCGTTTATACTAATCTGTGATGCTTAAAGTGTCCTGTACGCAGCAGGGGCCAGCGACATCACTGATCTCCATGCCTGCTGTGCTGGGAATACTTTAGAGAGAAGGGTGCAACTGGCATCATTCTTGTTGTCATTTTATATATTTCTGAGTTAAAAGCTACATTTCCTCAATCTAAACAATGTACTGTTCTGGGAGGAAAAGGACGTGAACAGATTGGGGATGGTCTCGGATCCTCTCTCAGGCTGATAGCACTGCTGGCATCGTGGTGCTGAGCTCTAAAAATAACTGATGTTCTACGGAAAATTGTTTCTCTCTGAAGTTTCCATATGCCTGTTGTGACTGCCACATTCGCTTCCAAGTATTGATTTTAGAACTAGATCAGAATTGTACACAAGTCATCAATATATTTATTTGCAGGACAAGACAACTAAGCATTAACTGTGAATTCAGATGTTTTGCAGCATGAGCAGACTTGGGTTCTCACATCCGCTCAGAGCAGTGGGGCAGGTCATACGCTGAAGACGTTCGTGTGGCCTTTACTGCGTAGAAAGTGTCTGTGTGAAGTTCTCTCCACTTACGCTCTGCTCACGGAGGGGGAAAGAAAGTGGGAATTAACTTCACTGTTTGACAAACATGTGACTTTCTGGAAAGCCACGCCAGCCGCATTTCTGGAAATGCCGCAAACATATGGGGAAAAGAGAAGTGGTGAAAGCCTCCAACTTTTCAAGTCAAATAAACCTGAGTTCCAATTTCTATTTTGTCTTTTCTAAGTTTTACTATGTGTGGGACTGAGGAAAAGGCCCTTTCTCTTCCTAGGCTTCCATTTCCTCATGGCTAACACACCTAGATGATAGATTGTTATGGATTTCAGTGAGAATAAAAAGCCCTCCAGTATAAAGGGCTTATAAAGTATGTGGAACGCAGGAAGCGGGAGATGAATAACATTGCTGGGATACGATGCCGTTGGCAGCGGTGGACATAGAGGCGGACAGAGAAAGCAGGAGGGAAATGGCAGAAGACTGGTATTGGTAGCAGAGCCAGGAGGCAGAGCTACAAGCAGAGGTAGTCCAGGAACAGGCAAGGTTCAACCCATTTCAGGAACGCCTGCAAATATGGCGCGAGATATTTGGTTTTTTACCCACAGTGAAACTCATCATAGTCAGAAGCAATGGTATTGACATTCAGAAATGTATCGTTTGGGCCAGGCTACTTGTTAACTGAACGTGTGAAGGGCAGAGACTAGAATTGGGGGCTGTGCTTCCTGGGTCCAAACTACAGATGGCCGCCTTCTCAGCTGCTGTCCTGCAGCCTGTGTTGCGAAGAGTCCAGAAGGCCCCTCATTATTCCAGAGCCTTCCTGGTACACAACGACCTATGATTTGTCCTCGTAATGAAATCCGAAACACCGCATTGCTGCTGTATAGAGACAGGCTGGGGAGAGATTTGGAGCTGAGCTTGGGAAGTGTCTTCTGTGTGTGCACTCTCCTGACGGTGATTGTCCAGCTGTTGCTGTGACCGTGGCTGTAGGTTGGATGAGTGTGTCTCTCTCATCTCATTCTTGAGGGTAGTGATATTGAAATTCCGCTTCTGTACTTGAACTGTCATGGCAGCCTTATCTATTTAATATCTTCAGCTTGTTCTCTCTTTTCTAAGGAAGAATCCTGACCTATTTTTCTTGTTCATCAGCCCCTTCAGAGCCCTGAGTGGTCCCTTCTGCCCTCTCCTCTCCATCCTCCCAAAGCCCCCAGGCATCCTGACACAGGGGTCTCCTGACTTCTTAACCTCGTTGCGGACACCAGCAGATACTCACTAAATACGTGGTAACATGATGAGAAAAAGGAAAACCCAATGGGCATGTTTTGTTTTTAGTGATTCTTTGCCACAAACTGCTGAACATCCAGATGAACTCAGAGCTGGCCGAGGTACTGAAAGTTCAAAGAAGGAAAAATGTTGATATTGCACAGCTATGGCACACTTAATGAAGTTAGCCAGCGTGGGTTCTATGATAGGAAACAGCCCTTTAACACCGAAAATACAGCTGTTTTCAAGATGTGAGAGTCTGTTCAGTCCTTGCTACTCAAAGCATGATGCGGCCAGGCAACTTGTTAGAAAGGCAGAATCTCAGCGTCCAGCTCAGACCTGCGGAGATGTAGGGTGCATTCCGTCAATCTCCTGTCCTGTAAAATGAGTAAGACCAGCGTTCTGTATCAGCTGGTTGGATTAGACATGGCTTTTCTTGTGTTTTGACTTTTTTAAAGAAGACATTTAAAAATACAAACATTGTACATTTACAGATACTTACTGAAATTTATTGATCCCCAATTCCTAAATATGTAAAGGCTTTCTTTGCCAAGTAGTGAAATTTCATCAAAACGTATTTACATTTTTTTAGTATCTATATGTGAACAGGACCAAATTAATATCTAATTTAATCATCCCCTTACCAACTTCTCCAGAATGAAAGAGGGAGGTTCATGGTTGATGAAACTGAAGTTAAATGACTTGACCAGAATGAATGACACAGTTTTTAAATGTTAACATTTGAACTGAGGGCTTAAATTATAACTCAGTTCTTTTTTATTTTAGACTTTGATATTAAAGTCCTTCTTTGATTTAGTTTTTGTTCTGAAAAGCAAGACTCATAACCAAACATTAATCTGTGAATAGAACAGTCATATAAAGTCATGTTATCCTCATACTGTGACTTCTGAATGGAACATGGGCAAACACTGCTCTGAAGTACTCACATGACAAGTGGATTTATTTTCCTGTAGCCGGCAAGAAGTGGCTTAATTCTTAGAATTTGGTTTGTTCAGATCCCTGCAGGAGGCTGTAGGTGGGCTGGTTAAGAGCAGAGTCTGGAAATCAGTTCAGATTCAGACCGTGTGACCTTGACCAAATTATTCCATTTTTCCTCAGTGGTTTCATCTGTAAAATTAGGATGACAATATTGACAGTGCCTCATAATATTATGATGCAGATAAATAGATACAGCTATGGAGAGATTTCTTAGCATAGCACCTGATCTTTAGGAGCAGAATTTCAATGATTATTTAAGAAAAATAAAATCAGGTGAAAAACTTAACTGTAACTTATAAGCACATTTAATGAGATAAGGATCAGCTAAACTCCCAGTAGATTGAAACAATTTCTCAACGTGCATTATACAACCTATTTTTATAAGGTAAATGGAATATTCATTTACTGGTCTGAGCTATAGTGGTAGCTGGGGAAAAATACAGAGAATTGCTCAGGGGCAGGATGGTGTTTTATTCATCTTTAGAAATCTGTGAGCAGCAAATTCATTTGGGTAAGAGTAATTTCAGAAAAACAAGCATGCTCCCCCCTACCCCCGCCCAAACCAATGCCTCTCAAATATTCTGTACTTTTGGTAGATAGTAAAACAAAACAAAACAAAGCAGTTACACCACAGAAGTAAGTGATGCTACCCGGCGAGTCTCTGTTTCAATTCAGAGGAGGGACACTTATGGTGTCCGTAGCTAGAACTCAGTGACGTGCTATAAGTGGTCAAGACTAATCAGCGTTTGTTTCATTTTTTTCCCCTTAACAATGTCCAGATTCCACCAAAGGACCTCAACCTTGTTCAGGTGTAACTGGTACCATGCAGCCCCCCGGCCCTGCTGGGCAGCCGCCGGCCTCGGCCATCCCGTCCCCGAGCGCCAGCAAGCCCTGGCGGAGCAAGTCCATGAACGTCAAGCACAGCGCCACGGCCACCATGCTGAGCATCAAGCAGGCGAGCCCGGCCACCTCGCCCACTCCGTCCCCGGACAGACTGAAGCCACCCGTCTCGGAAGGAGTCAAAGCTGCCCCCTCAGGACAGAAGTCCATGCTTGAGAAGTTCAAGCTGGTCAACGCCCGGACGGCTTTGCGCCCTCCGCAGTCTCCCAGCTCAGGACACGGTGACGGTGGGAAGGACGACGATGCCTGCTCTGAATCCGGAGAAACGGAAGGTTTTAACAGTGGTCTGAACAGTGGTGGCTCAACGAACAGCAGTCCCAAAGTGTCACCTAAATTGGCCCCTCCGAAAGCTGGCAGCAAAAATCTCAGCAATAAAAAGTCTCTGCTACAGCCCAAGGAGAAAGAGGAGAACAAGAACAAGAATAAAGTTTGCCCCGAGAAGCCGGTCAAGGAGGACAGGGAGCAGATGGCGGAGGCGGCTCCAAAGAAGACCTCCAAAATCGCAAGCTTGATCCCCAAGGGCAGCAAGGCGGCGGCGGCCAAGAAGGAGAGTTTGATCCCGTCGTCCAGTGGGATTCCAAAGCCAGGCTCAAAGGTGCCCGCCGCAAAGCAGATCATTTCTCCTGGCAGCACAGCAAGCAAAGAGTCTGAAAAATTCAGGACTACCAAAGGAAGCCCTTCCCAGTCCTTCCCTAAGCCCGTAGCCACCGAGAAGGCGAATCTGTCTACCTGCCCTGCGCCTGCGGAGGGCCGGGAAGCTGGCCAAGCTTCTGGCTCCTGTACCGCGACAGTGGCACAGAGCGGTGGGCAGTGCACAGGAAATGGTGCTGTCCAACTCCCTCAGCAGCAGCAACACACCCACCCGAATACCGCCACGGTGGCCCCGTTCATCTACAGGTAAGGCGGCCTCTGTGCATCTGCGGTTGAGAGCAGGTTGACAGGTGTGCACGCTCAGAGCACCATAAGGAAGGCTGGGAGTAGAGCTTTCTAGTCATTTGGGGAGCAACTGTTTACTGTGTATGCTGTCATATTGTAAATGTTCCTTAAATGTTATTTATGAAAAATTACTTCCAGGCCTGGCGCAGTGGTTCATGCCTGTAAGCCTACCATATTTTCTCCAAAATAAGACACTGTCTTATATTTATTTTTTCTCAAGAAGACACACTAGGGCTTATTTTCAGGGGACATCTTCCTCTCTGCGCTGAAATGCATGATATCTGCATAGCCATGCCATCACTAGGTCTTATTATTGATGTAGGACTTATATTTAATAAATGCATAGAAATCCTGCTGGAGCTTATTTTAGGGGTAGGTTTTATTTTCGGGGAAACACGGTAGCACTCTGGGAAGCTGAGGTGGGCAGATCGCCTGAGCTTACAACTTGAAGACTAGCCTGAGCCAGAGCGAGATCTCATCTCTAAAATTAGCAGGGTGTGGTGGCAGGTGCCTATAGTCCCAGTGACTCAGGAGGCTGAGGTAAGAGAATCACTTGAGCCCAAGAGTTTGAGGTTGCTGTGAGCCATGATGCCTTTGCACTCTACCAAGGGGGACATAGTGAGACTCTGTCTTAAAAAACAAAAAAAAAAGAATTACTTCCTCAATGTTAATTTTGTATCAGTTTCCAACAACTAGGCATAAATTTCTAGGTAAAAATAATTACTTACCCACTTGTGCTTTATTTACTTTTATGTTTTATGTTAGTGTTTTATTTTGTAGGTATTAAAATACACTATATATGCTATATCTAAAAATATGCACCCTGCTACCCTGTTGATAAAGACGGCACACCTTCGCCTGTTGTCCTGCAATTTGTTTTAATGGATTAGAAATAAATCATTCAGTGGTGTCAGTTTTAGTCACTGCCTGGCTAGCAAGGAGACGGTCTAGGGAGAATGCAGTCTGTCTTTGTGCAGCCTTCAGGAAGGTTGACAGTTTAACAAGAGGAAGAAAATTTCATGTTTGGGAAATAGGACCTGCTGTAATTAAGAAAAGGTCAAGGCTATATAGTTTAAAAATTTATTAAATTGATTAAATGTACATTTTTAAAAATAATACAAATAATTGTAATGATTTGTTTTCCCTCAATGAAAAACCTAAGTGGGCTTTATACAGTCAGCACAACAAAACCATAATTATTATGTTTAATCTATCGGAACATCTCAACTAAGCCTTGCTATTCAGACGTTAATACCAATCATTCATTTAAGGCCTGTATGTTCGGGTCAGATGGGAGTCTGCAGCTGTTTCTGAGTCCTGGGTTCCTATGTCATAAAATAGAATTTAAAATGTTAGAATCATAATTCAACATTTCAAAAATATAACAGAAATCATGGAGCTTTAAATATGTCATACTCAGCACCCTTGGGGATTTCAAATATATTCTGTAAAAACATCAATCAGTTAAAAGAAATCATAAGTGAATTTTGTAGGAAAGTGTAAATCTAGAACTTCTAATTTAGTAGGCTTCCTTCTATAAGTAGCAACAAGCATTTTGGGGTTTTAGATTATTTGTGATAAAAGATCCGGTGAACACACATTTGTAGCTTATTTATGAAAATGTAACCTTCAACTTCAAAAGAGGAAACTGCAGAGTTTAGAAGTTAAAAGTGTGGATTGGCGACCCTGAAAGTTCTCCACCCCCTTTGAGTTTCTGTTTACCCTTTTTAAAATGAAGGTTATAAAAGTGAAGTAATGTAGCTAAATAGCTATGAAAACAGACCATAAAGTCTGTCTTACGCTACCTTCCTTCAGAAACAGTATCTCGTGGTGGTTAAGGGGATAGTCTTTGCCTGGGTTGGACTCTCAATGCCACCACTGGCTAATGTTGTGACCTTAAGTAATATGTTAAAATCTTCTGAGCCTCAAGAGATAATAAAAAAAAGAAACTACTTAAAAGGGCTGTTTGAAGATTTAGTGAATTGATATTTACAAAGTGCAGAAGAGCGGTGTCTGCCATAGAGTAAAACAGCCTTCCCCGGATTTCACCATCTGAGGCCGTAAAGTGTGATTGATAAAGAATGCCTGCCTTGATTAGCTTTTTATAGAAAGAAAATAAGTTCATGTAGAATTTTTAGCACAGACCCAGGTTCAAAGTAAATGACATAAACGTCAGTAATGATCTTGTCATCGTGGGTAATATATGATAGTTAGAAATAGAAAGCTAATACAGAGACTTCACGTGACAGTCTACACATGAGGCCAGGGTTCTTTGAGGTCTTTTATCGATTCAGAAGCATTTTGTAAATGATAATGTAAGTCCTCTCAAGGCAGAATAGCGAACGCTTCTCAACTGCAGGTAGGACGTGTTCGTATTACAGAGCCATGATGTCCAGGTTAGGAAAGCCCTGATGTTCTCTCTGCCTCTCCAGCTCCATGTAAGGATCCTTGTTGAAAAAGCCCTGATGAACTTTTCTGGAGATGCTAAGCATTTGCTAAAGGAATGCTATAATGGCTTGCTATTTTATAATGGTATTTTCATTTGTTGAGTGCCTACTTATTTAATGTCTCTGTGTCACAAGATGTATGTGCATTTTATAATTTAAACTTGATCATGATCCATCCTCCTTAGAAATGAACATTATTTCATTTTACAGAGATGAAAAAGTGGAAATTTCATGTCAGAATAGTAATAAACTCTTTTTTTAAATTTTTCTTATACATGTGTATATTAGGTTTCCACTTTTGCCTTCACAGAATTAAAAAGGCTAAATTTAATGACAGTAACAATATTTAACAGAAGAACTGAGAACAAAAACCTCATAAAGAATGAATGAGCATAAAGACACTCAAAAGAAATCAGACGATGGCTGCAATGAAATATTAAGCACTAATAATAGTAATAATGCAAAGAAAGTAACATTCACATTGTCAGGAAGGAGTATGTCTAGTATAGAATACTTTGATCAGTTAACTTCTTCTTATTTTGTTTTTTCCAAAGTCTCAAAAAAATAGACAACTAATATTTATAAATAAAAGTAAAAGATAATTTCAAAAAAAAAAAACAGATCATGC